GGCCACGAGTTTGCAACCCCTGCTTTAGTGAGACAACTTTTTCCACTTTCACTCCCAGCTCTCGGCTTTCCAACTTGGCTCTCTGGTTATCCACAGGACATGGACATGAGCCAAATGGGGCTGGGCCGGGAGGCAATGCCCCTCCCCAACTGACCTCAGACTCACACTCCCCAAATGGCCAAGGCTTCTCACGGGGTCCAGCTGATGGGCCTGACTCCCTCCTGCAGGGCAAGATCCCTCCCAGGAGGCTCATATCAGGCATATCTGGCAGGCCAGCAGCACATGCCTTCCAGACAAGCCTGTACTTGTCTGAAGCCCATGTGAGACCCAAGCTGCAGAGGCTCTTCCAGGCCTTCAGATAAAGATCAGACCCATGACCACAACCTCCAAGGCCCTCCCAAGCAGATTTCTGCTGATCCTTTCAGCCCATGACCTTGCTCCTCAAACTGGTCCCTGATGACCTCCAGTCCCATCTCCTCCCTTCCTAGGCTGGTCCCTGATGATTCCTTCAGCCCCATCTCCCCACCCTGTGCCCACACCCTGTTCAGATAGAGGGAACTTCCTTCTCCATTGCATCCTGCTGTCTTTCATCTCTGGGATTTTGTATATGTCATTTTCTAGATTGTGCCTGAAACCTCTATTCCCCCCCCCCAACACACACACACACACAAACACACACACATCGAGCACTCCCACCACTTTAGTTCTTCAAGTCTCAGCTCAGAAGTCACTTCTTCCAGGAAGCCTTCTCTAGTTTAGGGGCTTACTAGTTTAGGGGCTGAGCTCAGGCACTCCCACAACCTACAGGAGTTCCCCATCACATCTTATCACTTACTTTTCTTTCCCAAGAGAAGGAGAGACATGGGACCATGACTGCTGGGTTCCCCTTCCAATCTAGCATCTAGCACTACATTGAAGCCAAAGGAAGGAAGGAAGCAAACTGGGACCTTCTACTTTATCTGTTTCCATCTCTCTGTCTTCATCTCTGCACTTCTAAAGTCTCTGTCTCTGACCATTGTAGAGGCCAAAGGAAGTCATCCCCTTCAACCCTCTGAAGGTTCTCTGAAAAATCACCTGAAAAATACATATTAAGAAGAAGAAAAGGAATAACAAAATTTTTTATATTATAGTTTTATATGACATGGGAGCATAAAGAATAAAGACCCAAAGGTATAGGGGGAATTGTCCATATTTATACTTAGGTTCTGTATTAGTCCATTTCTGTTGCTTATAACAGGAATACCTGAAACTGGGTAATTTGTAAGAAAATGAAACTTATTGCTTACAGTTCCAGAGGCTGGAAAGTCCAAAGTCCAGGGAACACATCTTGTGAAGGCTTTGTTGGTGGGTATTGACGGCAACACAGGTTGTCACATGGCAGATGGCCTGAACAGGCAGAGAAAGCTCCTCACAGGTTCTCCTTTTAAAGCCATCAGAACCACACCCATGACCACCCTTAAACCATCAATGGATTAATACATTCACTAGGGCATGGTCCTCACTATCTAATCACCTCTCCAAGGCCCCACTTTTCTGTGATCATAATAGGATTCCCCATCCTTTTAACACGTCACAATGGGGGTCAAGCTTCAATGAGTTTGGGGGGACATTCAATCCATAGCATTCTGCTCCTGAACCCCCAAAACTCATGTCCTTTTCACATTCAAATACATTCATTTCATCCCCATAGCCCCAGAGTCTTAACTTGCTTCAACTCAAAAGTTCAAAGTCTCAAATTCCCATCTGTGAAATCAAAACAAGTTATCTACTTCCAAGATACAATATTGGGACAAACATAGGGTACGTATTCCCATTCAGAAAGGGAGAAATAGGCCAAAAGAAAGGGGTAACAGGTCCCAAACAAGTCTGAAACCCAGCTGGGCAGACATCAAATCTTGAAGCTTGCAAATCATGTATCTTGACTGCATGTTCACCATCCTCTGTATACTGGTGTGGGGGTTGGGCCTCCAAATCCTTGGGCATGTAAGAAACAGCTTAAGTGACTCATTTTCAAGAACAGCCTAACAAAGCTGTTTAACCAGTTATAGGTATGACAACCCCAGAGAATGCACATTCCCAGAAAGTCACTGAAACAGCATGTCACCTTTGAGAAATAACTTCTCAAGATGGTGGCTGGTCACCAGCCCTTTGTTCTTTTCATTTCCTGGTTCTTCTCCCTTCTCAGGACTTTTTGGTGGGCCTTTTTCACAGGCGTGTCTTGAGTCCATCCCTTTCTGTCAGCAGGAAGTGAACAATAAATACCTTATAAGGAAATAATGAAACAGGTAATGTTCGGGAAGATTGTATATCCCATAGTACTCAGCCAGTGAGGAACTGGGGGAGGGACTTGCACACTGGGGAATAAATTGCTCGATGTTACTGTTTTGGGTATGCCTGCCATCAGACACATGATCTTGCAAGACTGCCATTAAAGTCTGGCTTCACTGTACCTCATGTTTCCATGTCTATACTTTGGCATTGGACAGGTGAGGGCATTTCTCACAGGCAGCCCCACTCCTATGGCTTTTCCAGTCTCATGCCATACTTCAGCTCTCTCAGGTTGGTGTTCCACTCTGGTAGCTCTACAAGTCTGGGGTCTCCATGGAAGTCCCACTCATGGCTCCACTAGGCATGGCCTTGGTGGGATTTCTCTGCTGCAACTCTGACCTCACATTTCTGCTGGGCATCACTCTTAGTTCCATGTGGTCACTCTACTCTCAGGACAGATCTCTTCCTGGGCACCCAGACTTTTCCATAAGTCCTTTGAAATCAGGATGGAGGCTCCCAGGCCTTCATAGCTCTGGCATTCTGCAGGCCTGCAGACTTAACACCACATGGATGCCACCAAGTCTTCAGGCTTATAGATTGCAGAACTGAGGTTGGAGCCACACTCGGGGCCACTTAAGGCCAGGCTGCTCCACCCAGAGAGGCTAGGATGCAAGGAACAGCATCCCAAGGCAGTGCAGGGCAGCAGCCCTAAGGTCTGTCCCCCAGAACAATTAGGTCCTCCTAGGCCTCTGGACCTGTGACAGGCAGAAGTGGCCCAGAGACTTCTGAAATGCCTTCAGGACCTTTTTCATAGTCTTGATGAAATGCCTTTAGGGCCTTTTCTTATTGTCTTGATAATACCTTTCTTCTGTACTAATCTCCTTAGCAAATGGTCACTGGACTACACCATTAGTTTCCTCTCCCAGAGACACCCTCTCGCTCTTTACTTGGCCAGGCTGAAAGTTTTCCAAAGAGAGCCCTCTGTGTTCTTTTGAATTATAAATTCTGGCTTTATGTAATGCCTTTTCTGCCATAACTCAGCATAGGCTGTTGCAAGTAGCCATGCAGCTTCCTGAATGTTTTGCTGCTTAGAAATTTCTTCTGCAAAATGCCCTAGTTCAGCACCTTTAAATTCCACATTCCAGAAAACTTTTGAGAATGAACAGAAAGCAGCCAAGTTCCTTGCCAGTTCATAGCAAGGGTGATCTTTGCCCCAGTTTCCAATAAGCTCTTTCTCATTTACATCTGAGATCTCCTCAGTATGGCCTATACTGTCCTTATTTCTATCAGCATTCTGCTCACCACCATTTAACCAGTGTCTAAGACACTCCAAACCTTCCCTGGTTTCCTCATCTTCTGTACTCACACTAGCATTTAGGTTTTTCCTAGCCTGCTCCTTCAAATTCTTCCGGCCTCTGTCCAACACCCAGTTCCAAAGCTACTTCCACATTTTCAAGTATTTGTCATAAGCAACACCCCACTTCTCTGGAACCACTTTTCTCTATTAGACGATTTTTGTGTTGCTATAACAGAGTACTTGAGACTGGGTAATTTATAAAGAAAAAAGGTTTATTTGGCTTAGGATTCTGGGACAGCTGCATCTGGTGTGGGCCTCAGGCTGCTTCTCCTCATGGTGGCAAAAGGGAGGCATGCAACCAGAGGGTGCAAGATCACATGGCAAGAGGAAGCAAGAGAGAGAGGGAGACAAGGTGCCAGGTTCCTTTTAACACCAGCTCTGGCAGAACTAATAGAGCAAGAACTCACTCACTATCCCCCACCCCCAGGGAGGGCATTAATCTATTCGTGAGGGATTCACCCCCATGACCCAAACACCTCTTGACACTGCCACATTAGGGATCAGATTTCAACATGAGCTTTGGCGGGGACAACATATTTAGACTATTATATCAGGTTCTATGAAGCAGGCATAGCCATGTGGAAATGGATTGGACAAGAAAGGTACAATCTAATGCTAGTAGACTAAGTAGGGAAACCCAGCAAGGACTGTCTGTTCAGATTCTTCTTTGCGTGTCTGTGTAGCATTCATTCCTTCAGAGTATGGGGGCATGACCCCTTCTGGAATGGGGGTCTTATGACTTAAAATCAGACAAGGTAGGTCAGAGTTTCTTTACGGCCAGCTCCAACACAGAAAGGTACGGGGGAAGACCAGAATCAGATATAGATAAGACCTGCCTCGGGGAAGAGGGTTTCTAGTTCCTATGTCTTGCCTCGGGAGAATGAGGCTGAGACACAGGAGAAGGTCAGAGGAAAACTTTGCTTTTGAGGCTGCTTCTGAGGCCTTCACTTTGGGCTATCACTTTCTGGGCCCCAACATCATCTATTTTTTGATCCCTCATCATGTTTCTAACCACACCTTTTCCATCCCTGACCCGCGCTGCAGGGAGTGCAGGGTGTCCTGGCCCGGGTCCTGGGTGTCCCTCCAAGCATCACGGCTCTCCAACCTCAGGGCGTGGAGGGTCTCAAGGGATCTTGCCAAACGCTTCCCAGCAGGGGGTCCTTAGGCTGTGCGCCCGGATTGCGGAGGCAGGAAGTGGGGTAGGGAGGTCGAACACTGATGGTGAGGGCAGAGGCCTGGGGTAGCTGGCGGCGAGTAAAAGAGGCGGAGAAAGGAACAGAGGAGTGCGAGTGGCAGGTGGGGCGGAGAGAGGCGGGCCAAGTGCGCCCCCCTCTCCCCGCCCCGCGCTGCCCGCGCCCTCCCAGCCCAGCCGGCTACATCTGGCGGCTGCCCTCCCTTGTTTCCGCTGCATCCAGACTTCCTCCGGCGGTGGCTGGAGGCTGCGCATCTGGGGCTTTAAACATACAAAGGGATTGCCAGGACCTGCGAGAACAGGCGGCGGCGGCGGCGGCTGCGGCGCGAGGGCCGGACCATGAGCCGCTGAGCGGGGCAAAGCCGAAGCGACCCAGCAAGCGGACCCTCGGAAGGGAGCTCTGCGCGGCGGAGCAGGCACCAGCCAGGCGGCGACGCGGCCACACGCACCGAGCCAGCGACCCCTGGGCGACGCGCGGGGCCTGGGAGCGCAAGGATGGAGGCGCGAGTGTCCTGGGGCGCGCTCGCCGGCCCGCTGCGGGCGCTCTGCGTCCTGGGCTGCCTGCTGGGCCGGGCCGCCGCCGCGCCGGCGCCCATCATCAAGTTCCCTGGCGATCTCACCCCCAAAACGGACAAAGAGTTTGTGGTGGTGAGTTGCTGCGCTGGCCTCAACAAGCCAAGTTTAGACACACTTAGGAGGCAGAGGATGGGGGCCTCTCCCCGCCCCCCGCAGTGGGCACACAGCGTGGGGGAGAGGCCTTGCTAAACAGCTTGGGGGGTCTTTGGCAAGCTGAAGGAGGGATTTCGTTTGCAAACGGTGGGGGAGCTTTGTTAAGTAGAGAAAGCCTTTGATAAACAACTTGGCAACCTTCTGGACACGTCAAGGAGGGCGAGAAACAAGGAGGGGGGAGAGGGGCGCTGTGGCAAACGGCTGGAAAGGGCTTCTTTTGTAAATAAGGGGGACATTGTCTAGTATTTGGGGGATTTGGCAAGGGGGCGGGTTTTGCAAACATTTTGGACACATCTGGGGAGTTGGCAACCGGGCCCTTGGCAAGAATCTTGGTAGGCCTTTGGCAAACAGCTAAAGGGGTCTCTTTTGCAAATGGGGGAATTGCAAAGGGGGTACTTTGACACACAATTTGGATAAACTTCTGCACACGTGAGGATGGGAGGGAGCTCTGGCCGAAGTGGGGTTTGGCAAACTTCTGGGAACCTTTGGTGCACATCTGGAGAGAGGCCTTAGATAAACAGCTCGAGGGAACCGTTTGGCAAGTAATTGGGGCAGGAGGGAAGAGAGAGCACATCTTTTTCGTCTAGCCTGATGGGCAAGTTGGCCAGAAAGGTCAAGAGTTGGGCCTCGGAAAGTTTCCTCGAACTTCTCCAAGGGGTCAGAGGACAGAAGGAGAGAACTCGCCAGGCGGGCGAACAGAGGGAAGGGCAGGCTTAGGAGCCCCCGCGCGCGTGGGGCGGCGCGTGGGGCGTGGGCGGGCGGGGGAGGATGGAGCCCCGTTAGGTCGGAAAGCGGCCAGCGAGCC